CTCAATATTATCTCTTAAAATGTTAAAGTATTGATTTTTTTTTAGAAACTAATTTTTTCAAAGAGATTGATTAAATATTATTATATTGTATTTTGATACAAATAAATAGTATTTTTAACCCACAATAAAAAATAATTTTTTATCCAAAACAAATGCTAGAAAGAAATTAAACTTTAATTCTAATATTATGTTAAAATTTAAATATAAAATTAATTGATAATATGTATAATAATATTAAATTATATCACGTGATACTAGGCAAGTGATGAGAGACTTTTATCAGAAATTGATTAAAATATTATTTCTTAATTGTTATTAAGAATGACAAAATAAGTTATTCTAATAAATCAATTTATCATTGTAAATATGACATGAGAGTGATACTTTTATATGGTTAACCCACTCTAATCTATCTTGCTAACCCACTCTAGCTTGCTTCACCAATTTTTCTAACTTGCTTGGTTAATAAAAAATTACTTTAATTGAGATATGAATATATATATATATATATATATATATATATATATATATATATATATAACTTATAAATGATGAAAAATTATTATAATTTATGAAACAAATAATAAAAAAGTTTTCACTCATTTACGGTAAGCACTCTCATAACTTAAACATAATTTTCTCTCTCCTATCTTTCTTTATCATTATTATAAAATAATTATGAAATTTTACTAAATAAAAAAATATTATATAATTTTTATTTTAGATGTTTGAATTTTTCAATATAATAAAACAGTTTCCAAATTTTGAAATGTATTTATTAATATTTATTATTATATGAAAATTATCTTGATAGTTCTAAATTTTAATTTTTTAATGCAACATGACAACACATACTGTTAACATAAGAGTATAGGTTCTTCATACATATAAGTGATACTTTTATTAATAAGCTTATTACAAAAATAATTTTAATAGGTCTATTCATCCACCCTCTCACTTACTTTTTATGGAACAAGTTAAGGTCTATAATATATTTTTATTATAATGGGTCAATTTATCTAATTTTTTCTTTTAGAGACTAAAGAAGAAAGTAAGAATTTAAAAGAATTATATTCATAAGTTAATTTTTTTAATATTAAAATAAATTATTTTTTATTTTTTATTTTTAAAAAAGTACATATTATTTTTTAATTTTGATTTCCTTAATTTTAGGAATTGACTCATTTATAAGTAAAATAATTAAAATGAGACCGAATAACTTGTTTTACTATTTTTAATTATCACTTATTTCCATATTTAAATGAAAATAAAGTTGCATTTGATAATTATTTATTATTATTTTTAAATAAGAGTTAGTTAATGTCATAAATATGATATAATATATAAATATTATTTTATATATAATATATATTTTCAAACCAAAAGAAATAAAATATAAGTTTCAAATTATTTCACTTTATTCCTTTAAGTATATGGTTGAATAAGTATTTATAAAATTAAATTTTAGATGATTAATTACAATTAAAAGTAAGTTGAATTTAAATTAAATGATTATATTAGTATTGAAAATAATTGTATAGAACAAATTAGTTAGTTTTTTAGAGATGTGAAACTAGGTTTAGTTTGATAGAATACACATTTGGATAGTAGGTTATTAGCACATTAAGGCCCAAAAAAAGAGGGCATTTGAAAATGGTGAGAACTTACACATATATAATTTTATTAACACACATGAACACGTCATTCATATGATAAATTTTTTAATAATATATTATCATTCTATATCATGAATTGAGTTGTATAATTCTTATTTTATCAATATAATACAGACAAAGGAGCTTGAAAAATATGTTTTTATTAATAAGATCTTCCAATAAACTATATACGCAAGAAAATAAGTCAATTTGTTGATGAAAGGTTTAGAAAGGCACGGGTTAGTTGATTCACTCCTAACTTTGTGTTTTTATGATTTGTAAATAGAATTTGAGACTAGACTTCCACAAGCAAGATCATTTGTTGCATCTTGTGTTCGGAAGTTGAATTTACTCAAACGAATTCGGCATAGGTTACTGGGTGGACACAGTTGGTTGAAAAAAAAAGGATAGACTATATGGGACTAGACAACTTGGTCACGATTACCATGGTGGGTTTGATAGCGTCAAACATCAAACTCCACCATTTAGCTCCTCAATATATTTAAAAGATATGAATTTGTTAGAAAAGTAGGCTGATATCAAGGGGGGGTGAATTGATCTTTGAAAGATTTTCGCAAATTACAGATTATCTATTTCAAAGATTAAGAGTTCTGATCAATTCTTGAATCAAACAAAGCAAACAATCAAAGTAAAGACAGTGACAAAATTAAAGAGAGAAAGGTTTAGAAGGATACAACCAAGACTTATACTGGTTCACCCAATCTCATGGTTATGTCCAGTTTTCAGCCAAATTCTAGCTGGGTTCTACTAGATTGAATGTTTTACATATTACAATTCCAATCACACACCCAATCTACCACAATAACCAAAATTTCAGTTCTTGCACCTAAACATTCACCAAGAACCAACTTCCAGTTCTTAAACAACCATGCAGCCAAATTCCAGCCACAGAAACCAGTGCCCATACTTCCATGCACCCACAATACAGTAAAGAAAAGTAAAGAAACAAAGAGAAGAAACTAGAACACTCAAACCAGGTTTATGCAGCTCTGTAGAATGAGTTTCTTCACAAAAAGAATGCAAAATTTGCCTCAAGAAAGAGCTACAAAAAACTTCACAAAACTTGTGCGATTCTCTCTTGAAAGTAGCACTTATGATTGCTTGATTGATTGCTCAAAGTGTGTTTTAAAAGACTCAAGCAATCCTATTTTTATAGAGGATTTTTCAAACTGCTGGTTTAATTAATTTGTTAAAACAATCTTTTAATCTGTTAAAAGTCTTGAATTAATCTGTTAAAACTTCTTTTAATCTGTTAAAATGTTCTTGATCATTTTCCAGATTTGTTTTAACTGATATGACAACATTTATATCAATTAAAACACTTTGTAAAAAATCCTTCAAATTGTTTTAATCGATTAATTCGCCTTTTAATCGATTAAAATACTGCCAAAAAGTTTTCATAAAACTTTCTAAGTGATTTTAACTGATAACAATCTGTTTTAATCGATTAAAACACTTTGGAAGAAATCTCTTAGTTATTTCAATCGATTATTTCGTATTTTAATCGATTAGAATTCTGCCAAAAAGTTTCCTAAAACTTCCTAAGTTATTTTAACTGATAAGAGACTTGTTTTAATCGATTAAAACATTCTGAAAAAAATCTCTTAGTTGTTTTAATCGATTAATTCGCATTTGTATCGATTAAAATACTGACATAACATCTTTCAAAGTACTTCAAGTTATTTTACTCGATTATTTTGAGTTTGTGTCGATTAAAATACTCGATGTAACATCTTTCAAAATACTTCAAGTTATTTTAATCGATTATTTCGAGTTTGTATCGATTAAAATTCTGTCAGAACACTTTTCAAAACATCTTAAGTCATTTTAATCTATTATTTCAATTCTACATCGGTTAAAATATCGCAGAAGGTTTTCAAAAATTCTTTTAACGAAAACAATCGATTATTTCGAAGACATATCGGTTAAAAACTTGTTATAAAAGTGTTAAGAACATTTTAACTGATAAAGCTCATATATAATATCAGTTAAAACAGTTTACTTAAAAGTCATTTAACAAATTACTTTGTTATTAACAGTTTAATCACGTTTTAGAGGCATTTGCAAAATCTTTTAAATAAAGAAACCTCATGCAACAAAGAGATAAGAATGATTATACCTAAGTAAAGGTGCAGACTCACTAATCACTCTACCCTTTTATCTAAGTGACCTTTGACTTCACCATAATAGCTTTGACTTCATCAAATCAACAAGATCTTTGTTTAAATGATTTAATAATATCTTCATCACTTTCAGAATTAGCTTAAACAACAGTTATCGACACAAGAATAAGAGATTCATCGAACAAGGGAGCATAATGAGCGACTAGAGAATCCATTTGGAGAGTTTCAATCACTCTTGGATGCAGTTGTTCACTTCCTACCCTCTTAGTGCACAATCCCTCTTTCAACACACCAACAAAGTCATGATAGTCAACAACATGAACCTCAAAAAGAACAAGACAACCAACAATAACAAAATAACCCAAAACAATAAGACAACACACATTAACAACATTCTCTCGACTATTCTCTATATTAGTGTAAACACCTCATTTTTTCCTATAAAAATAGATAAAATAAATGAAAATTTCAAATAGATCAAAATAATAAAAAAAGGAAAGAAAGAAAAACATCCATTTCCTGTATCCATGGAAATCGGTCCCATGTTCATGCTTCACCACCTCTGCTACACTCCTCTAGCCACCTTTGCTAGCCACCAACACACAACCCTGCTTCAGCCACTAACACAACCTTACATGTTACGAAAGATTGGACTCATCAATAGGTAATGGTTTCTTTATATATTGAAAGATAATTTCAACAAAAGAGGGATTTGATGAACACATTTAAAACAAAACAATAATAATAACAAATAAAAATCCACCATCATAAAACATAGCAACACTATCAACACATCAACACAATCATAAATTCACAACAAATCAACAATCCACAATTAACACAACAACATAAACATCAATCCACAACAAATCAACAATCCACAAATCTGAAAGAAATTTCCATATAGCATGTGTTTATGTATTATAATGTTTGTAGTTGTTACTTCTACATGTTATCTTTGTTGTATGATTATTGTAACTCTAATCAATTATTTCCCAGATTGTACATATTTTAAATAAAAAATAAAAATACGCTTATCTTTGCCGTTGATAATCACTAAGCTCATCACACCTCCACCGTAACCTTCACTCGCATCCAAATCTCTAACATCTCATTTTCAGCTCATTCGCTCTCCTCACCATAACACCAACTCCAACCATACGCTCTCCTCACCATCACACCAACTCCGACCACAATGAACCTAATTGTAAACGTCACCCTCAAAGGTACTCTTAGCCATGGTCACTCCACCTCCATGATGACCCATCCTCGTCTCTCTCATAACGAACCACCACGACTCACTTCCTAACTCTAACTGCTTCCTCACTGCCTCACCCGAACCTATCTTCGTGAGCCACCGCATCTTCACCATACCCTACACAATGAGCCACTTCTTTTAGTCTCCGCACCATTGAACGTCCCCTACAACCTAGACTCAACCTCACCTCCACCTCACATTCGAACCCTGGCCATTACAACCTCACCCAACGAGTTACACCTCACTTCCGCAAAACCTCCAATCAATCTCCTTGTCCCCAAGCCGCACGTCCCTCGCTCCTCCATCACGGCTCGCGTTGCCACCATGAGTCCCACCGCTAGTCACTCATTCTCATCTCAACCCTGTCTCACCTCCTGTGGCCCTAGTATTAGGATTAGGATAAAATATAAGTTTAAAAGGAATATGAGTTGAGAAGGAGATGTGGTCTTAAGAGATGCATGACCCAAAATCTGTTTAGGGGTGAAAATAGTAAAAACCGACTTTTAATATATAGTGAAGCGAATTAATCTTGAGTCTAGCATATTGACAGGAGATTTTCGAGTCAGTGGTCTAAGTTAGATTAAAAAAAACAATTTCTATTCGGGTTTGGGAGATGAACATAACAAAAATAAGCTTTAAATAGTAAAACAAATATGAAAGAATTTGTGTTTTTATGAGTTATTGTGTCTAATATTGTTTGTTTGTTTTATTTTATTAAACTAGACAACATAACAAAAAATAAGTTACAAATAATAATGAGTAGAGTTTATTATTATTATTATTATTATTTTATCCAAATTTCAAATAAAAATGATTCTACTTATTTTCTTAAAAATGATTTAAATTAGTATATCATTATTAATATATTGACAATTAAATTTCAATAACATGCAATACTATTGTTATTATAGAGTAGTAACAAAATATTTCATAAAAGTTTAACCGATGCACATATAATTTGATTACTATAAAATTATAATAATAAATTAAAATATACTTTTGACTCGATGGTAATAAAATACTTTTAAAAAATAGATATTTTTAAACCAATTAAAAATTACAAGTATAATGATTTAAATATTTAAATTACTTTAGATGCACTTTTTGATTTTATTATTACTCAAATTATAAAAATATAATCACTTTAGATGTACTTCTAATTAATTATTACATAGTTAGTCAACTTTAAAATAATTTGAAGCACATGTTTAACTTAGTAACATATATAGATAGATTAAAATAAATTATTCAAAAATATTTTTAAAAAAGAACTACATTATTTTAATTTTCCATTGCACCTGAAGATACGTAAGAAAATAAAAATAATCTCTATTGAGCTAAAAATATAAAAATATATATAATCTTTTATTTTTAATAATAATATTTAATAGATATATAATTTTAAAGGATAAAATAAATAATTTCAAAATATTTAACTTTTTCATATCTAATTAAAGATAACCGTTGTTAAAACACATGTTGTAGGTTATTAATACTTTTTATACACATAATCGACTTTTGAATACAACTTTTGTTTCGCATACCAACTTTTTTTTTCTTTTGAAGGTTTTTCCAATATTTTCTTTGAAATAATTATTGGTGGTGACTCTATTTTTTTCTTTCATTTAAAAATTTAATAATGTCGTCAAGTCACGATTTTGATTGTGATAATTAGTATTTGTTCAAATAATAAAAATACTTTATATTTGAGTTTATAATTATTTCTTCACACTTTATAACTATAATTAGACTTTATATTTTATGAATAATTTATATTATATATGATATTAATGATGCTTGTATTATATTTACATTTAATTTCGATTATCTTTTGTTAAAATGTCTTAATTGGTATTGGATCTATTGTAGTGGAATTGCATCTAATCATGTATATGTATATATATGTTTTATGTAAGGTTTGGTGATATGAATATGAATAGCATAAGGGATGATTTATGATCTTTAGGATTAGAACCTTGTAGGAAATTTAGGAATTTAGTGATAAGGTGAAAGGAAATAATCATTTTTCCCAAGGGAGGCAACTCACGAAAGATGTGAAGGTCCTTTGATACGATCAAGTGTTCTTGAATCACTCAAAAATTTAGGAGAATCACTCTCACCAAGATAAAAGAGTTAAACTCTAATATTTTTAAATAAAATTCATCTTGTTATATTTGATAAAAATATGATTCCGCTTACATAAAAGCTTTGCTATCAAAATTACAAAGATTTAATAAAATAAAATAAATGCTAATAATGATTCATTAACCTAAGAATTGAAAACTACTTAATGGAGACAAATAAAGGCTAATAATGATCCATTAACCTAGGAATCAATACTACTTAATGACTTATTGTAACTGAAATTGTGACAATCAAAAGTCAATCAGCTATGCACACTCTTGGTCTCCCAAAGACTAATGACTAAGTTTCCAATTGAGTCCTTATTACAACTTGCAATAAAATCAAACTATAGTCCATTAATTGATTAATCCAAAACACAATTTGGTCAACCAACAATACTTGTTGAAGAACTTCATTTCCTTCCCTTGCTCTAGCCCTTGTCATAGGTCATGTCCACATCATTTTCTCCTTCTTGAAAAAGATTTGTCCTTAAATTGGATTCGTCATCTATATAAAAAAAAGATAAGTCTGACAAATTGAATGTAGAACTAACATTATACTCACTTTTTGTAGTTAAATAGCTCTCTCTCACTTCAAGTGTTTCACTCTTCTTTTGATCACTCTTTTTCTTCTTTAGTGTTTCACTAATGCTTTCTTTTTCTCTATTTTCTTGAAGAAGTTTTTCTCTCATTTTCTTTTTATCCTCACACACTTCTTGTAGACTCAAAGGTTTGAGCACAATCTTCTTGTCTTGGTACATGAAAGAGATCTTGTTGGTGAACCCTTTATAATGGACTCTTTTATCAAATTGTCACAGTCTCCTCAAAAGTAAGTGACTGACCTCCATAGGAACAACATCACAAAGTAACTTATCATTGTATTTTCCAATGGAAATGTTCACTTCAACTTGCTTCCTCACTTGCACCTCTCCATCCTTACTAAGTCATTGAAGTTTATAAGGCCTAAGATGTGGTTTAGTAGGTAAATTTAGCTTTGACACTAATCTAGCACTAGCAACATTGGTGCAACTACCTCCATCTATGATCATCATGCACACCTTGTCCTTGATTAAACATCTAGTGTGAAAGATGTTTTTTCTTTGGATTTTTTCCATAGGCTTCAATTGGTCATCAAGTAATCGCCTAATCATCAATAAATCTCCCTTTGGAATCTCCTCCTCCTCTTCAACCTCAGATTCACTTTTATATTCTCTCTCTCTAAGAATCATATACCTTTTGTTAGGTCACTCATAAGCATAGTGTCCTAGACCTTGACATTTGAGACACTTCACATCTCTACTTCTTTTAGAGGTTTGTTCTTCAGACTTTGAAGGAGTCTTTGTAGGAATAGGTGTTGAACTACTAGAAGTAACAACCCCATCTTTCTTGCCTTTGTCCTTCCAACTTGAAGATCCAAAGTTGGTAGAACTCTTCTCAGCCACTTATTTTCTTTTGAGTTGTTGTTCCACTTGAATTGCTTTATGAAGTAAATCCTCCATATCAACAAACTCTTACAACTCAACAATATCACGTATATCAATATTCAAACTACCAATAAATCGGATCATAGTTACTTCTTCATCTTCTTCAATCTTTGCTTGAATCATGAACATGTTTAATTCCTTGAAATACTCCTCAACCCCCTTGTTGCTTTGAGTAAGTTTTTGGAGTTTAAATTTCATGTCCCTTGAATAACTAGTTGACACATACCGCTTTCTCATGATCCTTCTTATCTCAATCCATGTATCATTGACTATACATTTCTACCTTTCTCCTTTTGTAGCTTGTTCCACCAAACAAAAGCATAGTTAAAAAATTTCGTGATTTCAAGTCTTACCTTTTGGGTCTCCTCATAATTGTTGCATGAGAAAACATGCTTTATTTTCATCTCCCACTCCAAGTATGCCTCCGGATCACTTTTTCCTTTGAACCGAGGAATGTTAAGCTTGACTCCTTTAAGGCTACTTGGTCTTGCTACTCCATCATTCCTTCTTCTATTTCTCCTTTCTTCTTCATCTTTGGGATCTTTATTTTCCAACCGGTTCAATCTTTAATAGAGTTCATTGTTATGTCGTATCATTAATCCTTCTAAATGTTGTACCAATACCCTCATTTGAAATAGACTAATTTCTGCTTCTTAATTGTAATTTTCCTCCTCTGCCATCAATTTGATGTTCAAATCCTTAAATCAGGGCTCTGAATACCAACTTATATGAATCTGAATAGCACAAGGGATGACTTAGGATCTTTAAGGTTAGAACTTTGTAGGAAATTAAGGAATTTAGTGATAAGATGAAAGAAAAGAATCACTCTTCCCAAGGGAGACAACTCACAAAGGATGTGAAAGTCCTTTGATACAACTAAGTGTTCTTGAATCAACTCAAGAATTTAGGAGAATCACTCTCACCAAGATAAAATGACTAAATTCTAATATTTTTAAATAAAATTTAACTTGTTATATTTGATAAAAATATGACTTAGCCTATATAGAAGCTTTGTCATAAGAATTACAAAGATTCAATAAAGGAAAATAAATGCTAATAATGATTAATTAACCTAGGAATTGAAAATTACTTAATGCAGACAAATAAAGACTAATAATGATCTATTAACCTAGGAATTGATACTACTTAATGACTTATTGTAATTGAAATTGTGACAACCAAAACTGATTATAATTTGTAATAAAACCAAACTATAATTCATTAATTGATTAATCCAAAACACAATTTGGTCAACCAACAATACTTGTTGAAGAACTTTCTTTGTTTTCTTTCTTCTAGCCCTTGTCATAGGTCATGTCCACGTCATTTGGGTAAGGAAAAAAATACAATGATTGTTGGAAAATCTAGGACATTTATAGATGGAGTTATTGATGAAAGATTTGTTGATATAAATGACACAAATAATAAATATAAGTTATTGATGGATAAATCTATCGATAATTATCAATAGGTAAATCTGTCAAAAATTACTAACAGATAAATCTGTCAATAATTACCGATCGATAAATCCGTTGATAATTATCAGTAAAATTTTTCTACTCGAGATAATTATTGGTGAACTTGTCAAATTCGTTAGCACTTTTGCTAGACAACAATATTATTGACAAAATTATTGAAGGAAGGGAAAAAGAGATCACCTAATACAAATATGAATATATGAAGAATAAAATTCTATGTTTCTTATTGATTAAATGGTAGGTCAAAGTTTAAAAAGAAAAAGAGAAAAAAAAATGGAGCTTTGAAATGAAAAAGAAGAAAAAATGAGAATTAAGTCAATTATTTTTTATTTTTTATATTTCCACATACACTCGTACAATCCTACATTTACAATTCTTCGTCTCAACCCTTTCCGCCCCATTGATTTTAAATCTATTTCTCTTTCAGATCAACAATATAGAGTCTGATTTTATATGTTGTACCACTCATCAAACATTATTCTCGCTCTTCTATTTAAACGCAACACAACTATCATATAATTTAAAAGTAACCATCATCCATCTCATACATATTTGAGCTAGATAATTAAATTATTAAATTTACACATGTTTTAGCTTTAATTACAACTTTTTTAATTCGTTTCACACAGCTACATTAAATCCCACACACAATACTTTACATACATTATATTCACTAAAGATTCCATAAAGACAACATTATTAACATTACATTATTATTCAATAATATATGTGCATAGTATTAAATTGTGTAAAATTTAATATACATAATTACTAAGAGTTCATTACTTAAATTAATTAAATATATATTGAATAAAAATGAAGGTTGATAATATTTTGTGATTTTATATTTATTATGATAACATGGTTAAGATAAATTTTTATGTATAAGGTATTGTCTATTTAAAAATTTTGTTTGTCACAATTTTGTTTTTAAAAGTCATTTTGATGATTTGAAAGATGATGATTTATTTAAATTATCTTTGACTTTGACTTATAAGCATATTAAAAATATAAACTCTTAATTAAAAACTAAGAGATATGAATGAATGAAACAAAATTTGACTTTTGAATTCATGGTAAATATTAATATTCTATTTAAAAATAAATATATCGCATCTAATAATAAAATAATTAAAGATCAATTCTTATATATCCAACTGTATTATTATAACGATATTTGACAAAAATTTGGTTCGATCGATAGCAGGATCTTCTTGGAGTTGAGGAGGTCGTAACTCCTTCCAAAGTTTTGTAATTCCCATGTAAGTTGTGATTTTGGCTCCCCAAACTTAATTAACATTTAATATACTTACTTGTATATTTACAATTTTATCTTCTCACTCCCTCCTCAATTTTCTAACTCTTGTATAATTTATGATTTTGTCCCTCAAACTTAATAATCATTTAATATATTTAAATATATATACTACAACTTCTTCTTTTTATATTTATTTATTATTTATTAATAATATATTATTTAACTTAAAATTAATGTTAAAGATGCGCCCGTGATTCCGATATAATTTAATTAATTTGTATAGATAATAATATAGTTAAAGATATCTTATCCCTGTGTATATTCACACACTTGTGCATTATTGAAAAGCAAATGGACAACCCTAGAATAAAATCTTGCATCGGTTGAGAAAGATATATGAAATAATCACGTGACAATGTTGTCCACCTATTTTCTGTCACTTTCGTTTTTTTTTTCCATCCACGCGCCTTGCATGTCAAACGCCCTACCTTTTATTTCTCCAAAAATCACATAAAAAGTGTAATTTTTACTAAAAATAACATCATTTAATTTTTTTACGATTCTATTTATATATTATATACACAAAATTTTATATTAATTTAAAATTATTTAAAATCTTTATATATATATATATATATATATATATATATATATATATATATATATACTTAATATATATTTTTGATATAGGCTTTATATTCTTCGACAGTAAAGGACATGAAGGGGTTAGTTTGTGATTAAAAAATCTATAAGCATACATTTATTTTTTATTATTATTATTATTATTATTATTAATATTATTTATCTCTTTCCTCTGTTTACCTACATTTAAAATGGATCATGCCTTTCTAACAACTCTAAAGTTGAATATGATATAAATAACCCAGCAGTAACAATATGTTTAAGTTTCTTTTTGCAGTGCACATTTGAAACATGCCACATTCACATCGCGTTGGCTTTTTAATTTAAAATGGTTTTGTATCATCAACGAATGGATTTCTAAGCACCATCATTAATAATTTTTCAAAAGATATTGTTATACTATATGAAGAGAGAGGGATTGTTAACTCTAAGGTACAAGTCTTTAATATTTTCATTCTATAACTTTTTATACAACTTCAATTTAACAAATTTAATGGTTGAATGGTGTGTTTTTGTTTTGATAAACATCTATCCGAAATTTGATATTACGGTATATTATCATGTTTTTACACAATATATATATATATATATATATATATATATATATATATATATTGTTATTTTACTCATGTTTGTAAATATTTTTGCACAATTGTATGTTTTGAAACTAAATCTATAGATAAAAAAAGTTATTTTAACAGTTTAATAATCTTCTTATCCATTCACATGTGAAAAAAATGTACGCGGCAATTACCCATTTTCATTATAATAACTCTCCACGCGGTGCAAATTAAAAAATGTGAAAATCATTTACGCGGCACATTCTTCTTTTTCTTGTAAAATATTTTGACTTTATATATATAATAATGAGAGTATCTGCACTGCTATTGAGTATCTGCACTGCCATAGAGCATTCCGCTATAATTAAATGGGATAAATAACTTCCCTCGTTTTCTCCATTTGTTATCATATTATAATTTATAATATTATAATTCCTGAAAAAGAAAGAAATTACCAAACTTTCAATATTGTTGTGTTTCTGGTTGATTTTTCTGACATTATGTGACACATAATCAACATCTTTCAATATGCACCACCAATTTAAGTAGCTAAATGTTCGCAAAACTAGCTTTGTCCCAATGTGGTTTATGCTGAAATTATTATCTTCTATAATTTGTTGGCACCCACTTGGATTATCAAGCATCTTGGCTCAAGCATTTGGAAGAGAAGATATAGTACGCTCACAAAAACGATGAATCCCATGAGCATGATCACGACCATCACCATGATGTTTCTTTAGTCAAGTCAAGGTTCGATACCTGCTAAGGTATCCTAGAATTTCGTGAAGATTATCATATATACGTGGGTACCCTCCAATAATATTTACATTTGGACAGTGATTCAGTGTGATTGTGGCTGATAGGTGAGATTTGGGTTGAGTTTAGTTCTGACCACTTATTTATATGGACCTGAAATCGTTCTCCCCTAGTTCCGTGTCCACATCTGAGGTTGCCCATGTTGCAAGATCCTATTCCCCTTTGATCTCCAGTCTCAGGCACAAGGTTGGAGTTAAATTTTCTACCCACTTCAAGTGTCGCAGAGGTAACTAACAATTATCCCAATATATCATTCTTGGAAGTTTGTGTTTTACTTTTTTTTCCTTTGATTTTGCTGTTTTCGTTTCCTTTTTCATTATACTGGACCGCTTGTTAGTTTATCAGCAAAACTGAATATCTGAACTAATTTTAGCTGATGAGGTAGGCATAAGCATGGTTAATTTCGTTTCCACGTTTCTAACGTTGACATTTGTACTAATAGTTGATGCCCCCCCTTCTACAACAGAGAATGTGGGAAGATATGTATCTTGTTTGAAAAAATTGGATTCTTTTGTTTTGGATTTTTGGGGGTTCCAATAGGAATGTGGGTTTAATACATTCGAATGTTTAATTTCAGGTTTGTTTCTGAGGACTTATAGTGGTGCGGATAACGCTTATTTGACAAATAAAGCTGTAGTTAGTTCAGTTGGTCAAGATAATTTTGCAGCAGAAACGAGTTCCCGTAGAATTAATGGAACCGATGGCTCAACTTCGAGCTTCTATCACAGAAATCTGAGACTACTTAATGCTTTTGATGATGAATATGGGGGAGTTGTCATTGATTCTGATAGGATACCATCCAACCCATATACCTTCGCATCTTTGTTGCCTCTGTCTCTTTTTCAGTGGAAAAAGATGGTAAATTCTCTGTCCATGTTTGATTCTCTCTAACATGAACTACACTACTCGGACATCAGTCACTTCTTAATGTGATTCTAGTGTTTCTTCCGTTGGAAATAAATTTTATCCGTGTGGCTAGCATAGCATATCTACATGTCGGGGAAGAAGGGCTTCTATGAAATGTCATGTTAGAGAAAACAAAAGATATATCAGTATTTTCCATTTACCTTTTTTTTTTTTTTTTTTTGACGTTTTGGACTGCATCTGTTTCCTTGTAAAGACATCAATATCTGAGTTATATATTAAGATATCGAATAATTTACAGGGAAAGAAGGGCATTTGGCTTAAGTTGCCATTAGAGCAATCTGACCTTGTTCCAATTGCTGTCAAGGTAATTAAACTTTTCACATATCTACCAATAACGAAATAATGGAAATAACATGCATATTAGAGATTTCAGTATGTGTCTTGTTCACTCTGTACAATTTCACAAAAATTTAAATGAACGAGCGTGCAAAATAACCAATAAATTCATCCACTTATCTGTCTCTATTTAGTTCAACCTTTTCTTTTACTTATTGAAGAGTTGTTGAGCTTATTAGGTAACTCATTTTGGTCTCAGGAAGGCTTCCAATACCACCATGCAGAGCCAGGATATGTGATGTTAACTTATTGGATTCCTGAAGGGCCTAGCATGCTTCCAGCGAATGCGTCACATCAAGTTGGCGTTGGTGGATTTGTCATCAACGACAAAAATGAAGTATGGTTGCTTCTATATAATAAACATTAGAAAGGAGCAAGCTCATTTGAATCAGGCAGGCACTGATATTTGTGTGATTTTCTGTTAAATATTTGTAAAGGTGCTTGTAGTACAAGAGAAACACTGCTCTCCAGCAACTCTTGGTCTTTGGAAGATACCGACAGGATTCATTCTTGAGGTACCTTCTCTTAATTTCCTTTAATGATCTACAAATGAAATACAAGACCAAATTAGAGATGATGTTGAATGGTAATCTCATTTATGTAATTATATTGCAACTTGAATTCTTTATCACTTTGTTTGAATTATCTCAGGCGGAGGAGATATATACTGGAGCTGTAAGAGAAGTGAAGGAGGAAACTGGGGTAAGTTTGATGAAATTTTATGTTTTCCTCGGGTGTAAGTCGGTATTGAATTTATTCATGGGGTTGCATCGTAAGTTTCAATTCTCTAAGGCCTTTCTTTTTATGCTAGCTGCTTTATGTTGCAGATCGACACAGAGTTCATTGAAGTCATAGCATTCAGGTGACAGCTCCATTCATACTCAGCCATCATGAAAGTGAAATTTTTCTTCAATAAAATATATTTGAAACAATCACTATTCATTCTGTGTATGGATGGACATGTACTCGATCATAGTAAATTAGTTTATCACCATCTAAGGACGAGGTGGTCTAAGTTGAAAGTAATTGGATTACTAGATGGGTTTCTCTGGTAATCAACTACTTGGTAACAGAATCTAGTATGGTCACAGAGTGCTACATGATTCACCTTTTAATCCATTACTGCAGTGCAGTTCTTGTATTTTTCAAGATCTGACGAATTTCATCATCAATTCTAGGCATGCTCATAATGTGGCCTTTGAGAAGTCAGATTTGTTCTTCATTTGCATGCTAAGACCCCTGTCATCTAAGATCATTGTTGATGATCTTGAAATTGAAGCTGCAAAGGTGAGATATTCTTACTCATGAAGACAATTAAAGGAAACTTTTTCTTGGAGGTGTTTAACTTGTTTCCTTGCAGTTCCTTATGTTTATTGTTTTCCATTGACTTGGAATAGTCAATAAATAAAACATATCTTCATTTTCAAATTTTCCTTTTCCTTGTTTTGTAATCATCCCTAAATCCATCCATACAGAAAAAACTTCCGTACATCTACTTTTTTCTTGTTTTGCAATCATCTCTAAGGCGATGCAGAAAACACTTCCATGAGACATCAGCACTACTTGAATAAATCTGTGTAATATCCCAAAACCAAGTTAATCTTGATCCATGAGACATCAGCACTACTTGCATAAATTTCCCTTGATCACCATGTAGTGATTAAGGTGGCGGGACTGTTACTTTATCAAACAATCATGAAAGTTAGTATCTTGTTGCATTCAAAGTTTAACTTATCTGAATTTCCAATAACTCTTATGTGATACAATGCAGTGGATGCCCCTGGTTGAGTTTGTGGAACAACCACTCATCCAAGAAGATTCTATGTTCAAGAAGATCGTAGATATCTTTATTGCTCGTCTAGGGAAACGCTATTGTGGCTTATCGACGCATCAAGTAGTTTCAAAGTTTGATGGCATGGTATCTTCCTTGTATTACAATGTCATCGACAATGAAGATAACTGTGTTGGAGAATGAGAACTCAAGCAACATATAACTCTTCTTGGCTCAATGCATAACAGTTCTCGCTTCCCAAATTTCAGCATCAAGCTGAAAACTGGGCTAACCACTATACTGCAGATATCCAATCCGATATGTTTGTATACATTCAAATGACAATTTATCCCTATAATGTATATAAATATCTTCATGTGATTGTCATCTCAGTCCCACATTTACTAATCATTCTTGCAAAAACAACATGAACATGCGCTACGTTAACGGGTCTCTATATCATATAATTCATGGAACTGAATGCAGATAAATTTGAAGGATAACATGTTATAAACGAAGTTTATAGGTGATCCTGAAGAAATAATATAGGGTTTGCCATAAAACTATTAATGCGGGTAATTTTTTCAACAACCCAAAATCATAAACATTATTCAACGATTACCTAGATTTATATCTTTTAACAGTTTATTCCAATTAACAATACCGTCTTAATAAAAATATATACTGCAATGGTAATATCTTTCTTAGTTGACATCAGCATAAAGAATATAATATTTCCCGAAAGAAAAAATTGTTGCCAGAATAAAACAAAATAGTTGCTGTATTTGAATAAAGCCTCTTTCAGTTTGATTACGATCTTGGGAAAGCAGATAACGAGATTTTTCCCGTGAATATCACGTTCGCTATCTGCTGGCAATTTCAGTAGCTGGTGAAAGGAACAGGGCAGCGCAAAACGCCAAGATTTGTTTTCAAATTTCAATCCACATGTGCGACATTGCAACAATATACGATTTTTGTTAAAACCAATACTGTGTGTTATAGATTTTTTAGATTAAATTAGTGATAGAGGCTGAACTATTTGACAAATTTTAATTACGTTTCTGCATTTTTTTTTTCGTGCGGTGTATTTTATCTTGAAATCCTTTGAGATTGAATTGAATATGAAAGTAAGATCATAATGAAATGCGTTTGTAAAAGAGCGAAGAAGTTGGAGTGCGTTGGCATCTTCTGAGACGTGAGTTTTGTTTCAGAGCTCAATGGATGGATAGTTATTTCGTTTCAATTATTTTCTCTCTTTTGGCGTGGACCAACGTACTCATTGTTTATAATTTCGACATGCTGTAGGTTATGCGTTTATGCTCATAATTCAAATTTTGTTATATTTTTTCTTTCTCCAATCATCACACCCACTACCTTATGAACTAAGTCTATATAGCAGAGTAGTTTTAACATGATACAACTTGTTTTTGTTTTTCTAACCAAATTACGTTTTTGAGAATGATATTCTTATGATTTATAATAAAAATAATAAAATATACTTAGTTATTATTTAATTTTAGTCAGAATAATATGCTTATCAATAAATTATTTTGAGATTAGGATTTTTTTATCGTAATAATTATTCTTAATGATTCAGCAACAAAAACTATTTATTCATTTTTGTTTTATCAAATATGGGAAATTTTATTCTCGTGTCACTATTTTTTTTGTTTGAAATAATAAAATACTCTTTATATTGTACTAAATGTAATTTAAAAGTAAGTTGGATCAAGAAAAAAGTAAAATATATTAAAAGAGAATGTGTGCTTTTATTTTATTTAAAGTAAATGTTATCCAATTTCGAAAGTAATTAATTATCTCCAAATACTACATGTGTAGGGACTGATACAAGCTGGGTCATGTTGGAAAGTTGTACAATTGATTACGTTTGCGAAGAAATGTGTTAGTTGTATATTAATGAAATATAATTGTTGTAATATAAAATAGTGAATTTTTATTTTATTTTTTTCTATATGACTAACAAACACATCGTTATGATTTATAAATAGTGTTAGTGAAATGTGCTAGTTATTTTCTTTCATTAGCCTTGTAAATTATACACGTCATAACAGATGTCACCAATTTGTCCACATGTATATTATAATTATTCCAATATTAAAATTATTAATGTGAGTGTTTAATTTAATGTTATAACTCTTAAAATTAATTTAAATATTACTTAAAACTAATTTAAATATTACTTGAAATATCTACTATTTAAAAAATCTATTGATCCGTTCAAACGGAAGAATTAGATTAAAAATTGATTCATTATTTTTAAATAATTAAATTTTAATTAAATAAAAATAAACTCAAAACAAGATTGAAGAAATAAAAAATAAGATTAAATTTTTTTAATATAATTTTTTTATAAAAAATATAATATATTTTTATTTTTTAAAATAATATTTATTTTATTATATTTTTATTTTATTTTAATAATTATTTATCTCATATATTTTAATATATTTTATATTTATAATTTTTATTAAAATATAATAATAAGTTTTTATTATTTTTTAATATTAATACTAATAGATTTATTATATTATAAATATATTATTTAATTAAATCTGATTGAACTCTGATTAAATTTTTAATCTTATTAACTAAGTAATGCAATTTTAAAAATATTGGAAATACCTAAATTATTTTTAATATAGTTTGAAGTGACATAAATAAGAGTATTTCTAAAAATAATTTTTAACCAAAATTACGTAAAAATAAAATTAAATATTTTATTACAGATATCACAATTAAATTATTTAAAATTTAATCAAAATTATTTATAAAAATAATTTTATTCTAATTTTAAGTAATTTTTTTATTTTTAAATAATTTAAAAATAAAACTTATAATAAAATATTTATTTTTATTTCTTGTTCCAAATTTTGATTAAGCAATTTCATTAAAATTATTTTATATCACTATTAAATATTACCTATAATAAACATTTATGATTCAGTTGAAGATAGTTAATTCCAACTCTTGGTGCCCTAAATAATAAATGACCTGTGGTTTGTTTGTTTGATTTTTTATTACAACAAGAAACGACATACTAAAATTAATAAATAACAGATAAATAGACAAATAATTCAAATTCAGCACTATGCAAAGAAAGAAAATAAAACTACTACTCATATCTTTTCCCTAAAACAAATCTATATTTTTTTCATAACTCGTTCAGTTTTTTAATGAGTAGAGAGAATATGTTATCTTATTTTTTTATCACATAACATCTCATGTTTTTTGTTTAATTAAATAGCTTTTCCAAATAGGATTAAAAACATATTAATTTAATACGTAATAATAAAACTGATTGATGAAGTAAAAAAAATATTTATGTGAATAATAAATTACTTTTCGTAAATACAAATAGATTATATATATAGGCACAGCGAAAAAGAGTTTCTCTCTGATTTAAACTTTTTAATTTAGGCTTCATGGTTAGGCACTTACCTCACATTTCTTGTCCAAATTGCACCCCAAATTGTTGTTGAATTTTCAAGCTCTACCTTCCCTCCACTTTCCTCCCTCTCTCTCCCCCTTTGTAAGTTTATCTCCTTCATTCTCTATATTCCCTCGTTCTACTTTTTCATTTTTTGGGATCTTTATCTCTCTTCATCAATTAACATTTGATTCTTTGTATTTATGTTTTTCTTATTCATTTCCTCAGCAAAGGCACACAAACCCTTAATCTGACCTGCATTTTCTTAGTATGATAAAGGCAACAATTTCAATCCAGGTTTTTTTTCTTTTTTTTGAAATCTCTAATTATTTTAGACAAAAGCCAGATGAAAAATTTGCATATCTCTCTTCCGTTTGGTTGTATGTTATATTGTTGTAAAAAGGGTTTTGATTTGCATGTAAAAATGATGTTTTTTGTTGGCATTTTTTCAGGCCTCTATTTGTAAGGCGAGGAAAATGAAATTATAACGTCGAAAATGTAATTGGGGAATTGAGGGAGAAGGGAGGGAGAAAAACATACACAATGTCGGAGTTCCCCTTGAAAACGAGCTTGGAAATGGTGCGAGATAGAGAGAAAAAGAAAAGTCATATGGTGCATCTCAATGTGTATGATCTTACACCTGCCAACAATTATCTTTACCACTTTGGGGTTGGAATTTTTCATTCAGGCATAGAAGGTTTGTTCGTGAGACTTTTGTAATGTATTTCCTCTACTTTTAATTTTTAATTGATTTTAGCTTGTGAGGAGAGATTTAAATTGCGTATATTGGTATGGAATAACTAAATGGTGTTATTTTTTATAAGTGAAAAGAGGAAGAGAATTGAAAAACTAAACTGGTAATTGACTAAAACTTGGTTATAATATGTAGAGTGATTAAAGTTGCTGGGGGTATTGATCAACCAAGAATAAAGAAAATAAAAAATGCATTATTGGTCAGTAGTTTGTTCTCTCATCAATAGAGGTTTCTTGTATTATTTTTTAGAGTTTATAGGTTTGATTGAGATAAATAGTATTGTTGGTCCATATTAGCCTCTTTAGATTAGACTTCTCTGTGTTATTTGAAGTGGTATGCCTTTAGTAAATGTTGTATGATGATTAAAAAGGAGATATTCATGTTACTTACAATGGTTGGTGTATGCTATTCTACTTTGAACATTTTTAGTCTTTAAGCTAGAATGCAGCTCGCATTCGCGAAGATCCTTCATGTTAATATGAGGGAAGTACCTAATCAATATTTGACTTTAGTATCAAAATTATTGATACATATGACTTTAAGAGGAAAAGCTTATACCTCACGATTAAATAACATCTTTCACTCTCTAGCTTGATACAAATCTTTAGATAGATACACTACTAAGTTTTTTTTAAAGAAAATGAATGGATAGTTCTCAACTATCTTTATATGATCTCTTATGAGTTATTTAATCAGTAGTACAAGTAATAAAATACAAATTAAAATATTGTATTCACATATTTAATGGTTTAATAATAGTGAAACCAATTCAGTATATGTTGATTTATGAATAGAGAAATATTAGAATTTTTATTTATAATTCAAAAAAAGAATAAAGATTGTAATTAATAGATATGTAAAATATTTCAGGAATCAAAGCATTTATGTATTAGAAACATTCCCATAAAGTGATCCTTTCCTTTTAAACTCTTTCATATTAAATAATTTTCATTTAATTTCTCTAGTTTGATTTAACCCTATTTTTGTTAGTGATCAACCCTTTGTTCCTAACTTTGAACCATAACCCTTTAGGAGAACAAAATTAGCCATAAGCATTAAGAAAAATAATTTTACACAATTATAACCTATCCTTGGGCTCAAGAATTTAATGGTTATTGAATTGGAACTATCTAAATTTTTTTTTTTTTTAATTGCAAGATTTAGATTACAAACAATTCCTAATGAGAGACAAATCACAGAAAAAATTCAGGATAAGTTCAATAACTAAATTGTCAAAAAGATAAAAGGGTTCACAAGCTTTATCCTAACCTAACCCAGATGATTGCATATCTTTAACTTGCGGAGTTACAAAGAATAACATAGATAAAAGGAAAAAATGGAGAAGTGGCTATGAATTTGGATTTGAGAATTAAACTAAATTCTTCAAGATCCAATAGTAGGTGAGGAATCCCCAAGCTCTTTCTCAGTAATAAGTGGAATTCCTCTTCAGTAAATTCTAAATAATTTTTATAATGACATTTTTTTTAACAAAATCTCATTTGTAATTTGGAAGTTTCTTATATTGTTAAGTTACTGACTACAAAAACGTATGCAAAAGTTACCAAGTGGATAAAATGATTTAGAGAGTATTTTATAAGGGTAACTACATTTGTCCAAACAAATTATTGATCAGGTGTTGGGATGTATTGCTCTGTTATTTTAGTGCACTCTTAAACTGACCTTAACAAATTGTTTTCATGAGTAGTGCATGGTATGGAATACGGATTTGGAGCGCATGAGTTCCCAACAAGTGGTATATTTGAGGTGGAACCCAGGAATTGTCCTGGTTTCATCTTCAGACGTTCAATATCCTTAGGTAGCACTAATATGTCTTATTCAGAATTTCGTTCTTTCATGGAGTGCCTTTCTACAAAATATCATGGAGACAGTTACCATTTGATTGCTAAGAATTGCAACCATTTTACTGATGAAGTTTGCCAACAACTAACTGGAAAGCCTATTCCAGCATGGATAAATCGATTGGCTCGTGTTGGTGAGGGTTCTCTTTGCTTGATTATTTTGATAGTAGATAAGTTGTGTATTTTGTCGCTGTATATTTACTATGAATTCGAATTGCTTGTGTAATATGCATGAATATGCTGTCCCTGTACCCGCTTTAAATTATATGTTGCTATGAATGCACAAAAAAAAAAAATTATGTTGTGGAAATAAGTTTTGTCAGAGTGATGGGAAGCAATAGAGTCTTCATGATTGCATCAACTAGAATAGTACTGTAGTTGTAATGTGACCAGATCCAGTTTGAAATTTCAGGTTCTTTCTGTAATTGTCTTCTGCCAGAAAGCCTTCAAGTTGCTGCTGTTAGACATCTCCCTGAACATCTTGATCTTTCTGGTAAGATATGAAGATAACAATTTTTTTCTTTCAGATTGATTTTATTGGTAGCTATCCAAGAAAGAAATATCTAATATGGATGATGGTATAGCATTTTATTACTTAACAAAATATGCACTCCAATGTGATTCTCAAAAACAAAGAGTTGGATTAACCCTTTTTGGATACACTATTATATAGACGAAACATTTTGACATTGTAAATCACAGTATTTGATCAACGCCCGAGGGTAAGGGTCTAAACATTTTTCATTCCAGATGATGAAGGATCAGAATATGATGGCATTTCTGAGTCAGATGAGAGTGAAGTGGAGGAGGATTCCGATCACCATCTGTTGGCTACACCTAATAATAGTACTGATGTCACCATTATAAAGGAAAAACCAATGACTCTATCACGGGACGACCTATGATTTTCATTTATTACATACCAATCTTATTCTTCTTTCGTAAATACTTAATTTGTGAATTAGCTCTCAAGGTGTAACAAACTTTCTGAAATGCAATGTCGTAGACTTGGTTCAACAACCATGTGTTTGTATTATAAAATGATAGTCTGTTTGTGTGGTTCTGTATATCAAAATGAAGTGGCTATCTTGTAGATGTTATATAATTAAGGTACAGACCAAATTGTTTATTGTTTAAGCATATCGTTAATCTGATTGTGTGAAGTGATATTGTCCTTTCATCCTTCTTGATAGATGGAACTAAAAGAGGTTATATATATATATAAGAGAGTACGTTGCTTAATAAAATCTTAAATAACATTTTTTTTTATTACAATAACAATACACAGCCTAAATAAATAAATAAAATTATCAATTTTATAGTTCTAAAGAAGTAACACAAGAAAATAAGACAAATGCTTATAAAATATTTGAAAGATATAATTTTAAACCAAAATAGTCATAACCCATCTATTTTCATTTTTTTTAATCCAAAACGAAAAAACCCAAATCCGTTTGACTTCATTCCACTTCGATTCAATCTATTTTATTATTATTACAATTCAGTTGATTTCACCTCGTTCTCTACCACCAGTCGAATGTAGTGTTTAGTCCTTGATTCACAATCCAAATAGTCTCCAACCAATAATGAAACATAGTACTGCTCGTAGGATAATTGTCAAACCAATAATGAAACATAGTACTGCTCGTAGGATAATTGTCACCACTGGCTATCATAAAGGATCTTAATAAATATCCAAGGACTAAGAAAGAGATCCTGACAAAAAATGAAATATGGATCGAGAATAAGTAAAGGTTGTGATAACCTAAATCGATGATTGCATTTTACATTTTCGCAAGGTATACTTAACCATCGATAAGTTATAACATTATTGATTAAAACACGACTAGTAGGAAATATTATTAATTATAACACGAGGAGTAGGATTTGTTATGGAGAAGGCTAATCATACTCGCACAAATGTAAATTTCAAAGGTTTCTCGAAAATTTATAATTTTTTTTCCGAAGCACTGAATCCATCACAAGAAAGTTTGCAACAAGGAATGTTTTCTTATCATTTATAATGACTGCCTTGACACATAGTAACATCATATCAATATACATAAGGTACATATATTGATTGACTGACCCACATGACACTCATCATTTGAAAACAAATGAGTAAACAAAGGAATACAGGAAAAAATGAGTTAGAGATTTAGGATCGCCAAATATGCACCATTATTAAAAAAAAATGAAAAACTTGAGTCGATAGGCAACTTTCAGTAGACGACGTGGATATCGACACTAAGTTCTCCCAAGTGATTGCCCTTGATTGAGTAAGGGCTTTCCATGTTGCTTGGTTTCTCTATAAAAATATTCTGGCTAGTAGTACCATATCGTAGAAAAAGGCATGATATTCTCTCCAGTGCCGCTTGTCCAGCAACTCGTACACGATATACAACACTTAATTTTGCCCACATGTCACTTGTCGCAGTTCTTGATTGATTTGTTGGGTCGTAACCTTCTAAATCTGACCCATTTACCATGACCACAGAATTGTCATCAAACATCACAAGATCTCGTGAGCCTGTTGCCCCTTGAGAAGCCTTTACTAATGGAAATGGATTGGTTGTAGGAGCACATCCAACAGCCCTCCCCACCATAATATGGTAGTAGTATTCTTGGACAATCTGAAAATTCAGGGATTAAATTATATGAGGATGACCATTCCTATTAATCATTTTCCATTACTAAATCAGGAAGTTTTCAGTCCAAAATTTGGATCATTAGTTTTAAATCATATGAGCTTCGACAGTTTTGGGTTATGGCAATGTAGTTCAAAGGTTTAATAGAATTATAGAAGTCTATTGGAGGGTTTAATAGATCAACTTACCCGAAAGAATGTTAGGTAAATTTAAGAAAAAGAAGTATTTAAAACTTCAAAATTGACAAATACAATAATTGAAAGATAAACTGCACACTTACTTTCCACTGAGAGGAAGCAAGAAGCACCCTTGGTCGAATTGATTTCACATAATCATATGCAACATCAGGTGTCATCATTTTGTGGTGCACCTACACACAGGTTCAACAAATAATAACAATATTAGCCCATAATAATATTAACCTCTGCTCTCTTTTTTGCCTTGATTTTCTACCCTCGTTTTTAAGTTATGAAACCAACCAGATAACAAATAACAACAGTTGTGCTGCGACCGCGTCCAGCTTTGCAATGCACATATGTAGTGCGTCCAGACAATGCATTTTCTTCATTAAAAAAAGAAATGGAAAAGGTCAAATAATTACAAATGGTGTATTACCTTAAATTATATATGAAGCGAAAATACAAGCCAGATTACTAAGCGAGTTTTATAATTTTTAAACACTCAAATCATTTTTTTAATCTTTTTTTCACGTATGGGGATCTTGTTTTGCAATTTTTATAGCATTTTTTGGAAAGAGGAAAGTGAAAGACTTCATAATAGAGAAAATGATTTCAACGTAAAGGAATAAGAAATGTGGAATATGCAACTACTGAAATTAATTTATAATGCTCCCACTTTTTGGTCACCTTATGCAACATTTTACAAATTGCTTATAATGAATAATCAATTTTGTCCCACATAAAGAAAGTATCGTGTTGGTCACTAAAAGGCTGGAGAGACCATTATAGTTAATCAATTATCATAATACTCACCATGTATGAAACTCACAGCCCGTCGTATGTCATGCAATGAAGGAGCAAAATAGTAATCTCTGGTAGGGATCACTAAGTGGTTAATTCCATGAGTCTGTCACGTGTAACAAGAAGAAATGAAGAGAAAATTTTATAAATAAATTTTCTGAGGTCATGAAAACACCCAAGATGTTATATATATATATATATATATATATATATATATATATATATATATACACACACACACACAGTCAAAATATACCACATTGCATACTAGAACACACACAATGATTCACAGTAAAATTAATCACTTATATAAGTTTTATTTTTAATCTTATCATAAAACTTCGGAACGCATACAAGCATAAACCAAAAAAATGCAAGGTAAAGTAAGTTAATATAACAATGTTGCCTTGGTCTTCTAATTCACAAGTTGCCTCAGGGTTTAGTAGCCTAAACAATTTCCAAGTATCCTTAGTTCATTCAACCATAATATGTATTTTGTTTCATATTCAAAGTTTGAATACCTTTCAGAAATTGGAAAGTCAACAAAATCATCGTCAAATTTCTATCACAACAAAAACCCTGTGAACTTTAACTCTCAAATTTCATAAGTTATAGATTTAAATTCAATATCATCCAATATATAATGAAGAAGTCAAAAGGATTAGTTAGAAAAGTAGGTGCTAAACAATAATGAATTTTTCAACATTTAATTAATACATTAACCAGAAATAAAAAGTAACATAAAACTCACATAATATAATGTTGTTGGAACCAAAGTTTCATATGACTCATTCAATGTGATGACCCCACGAACACCAAGCTCCTTCAAGTGTGGAACATCAATAGGAAACGGAACAGCACCTAACAATATGAACTGAAAATTAAGTGCATCAAATTTAGGATCAACCTTATGTCCAGCAAATAAAAAAGACAACTTTCATATACAGCCAATTTTAAAATGTCATATTAGTTAAAAGAAAATGGAGACACTTCTCAACACTAAAGCATAAGCATTTAATAGCTTCACAATTCAAATTATATACATAATGAGTTCAGAAGATTTTCTATATTAAACAAGTAATCTTGTAAACCACAACATCCCTTATCCATGTATGGTAATGTTATCACAAGCATAGAATACCACATATGAGGACATTGATTTTATCAATAGTGAAAATATTTTAAAAATTTGAAAAGAAAACTTTGCTCAAGAATAGTCTTAAACTGAATACATAAATTAGTAACCAAAACAAATCGTACACATTAATATGAATACCCTCATCAAAACATAAAAATTAATAAAATGTGAGACTTTATCCTTCATAATTTTCCCTCTTTACTTCTCCAGACCTTAATTTGCAACATCATCTCAATACAACCATAACATGAAAAAAAATGATAAACCGCAGTTGACACATTCAATCAATGTAAATAAAAAGGTAAAACTTTTTAACCCATAAGCACTTTTCCCTCTATAAGTTGATAATCACATACACATTAAATTTGCGCAATGCAAGTAAACACTCAAATTAAATATATAAGCAAACACTCAAACAGCTTAACATTATTTTATATATGACCAAACTCAAGTAAATTAATGAAATGTTGTAACAACCTTACTCAATCAATATGTTATAAAATAAAAGGAACAATAGTTTTAACCCACAAGTATTTTTTTTCTTCTGCACGTTTATAATCACACATAATTAAATCTTTCGAATTTCATGTAAATCCAATGTGAAATAACTAAACGGAAGAAGGAAACAAGCACACAAAAAAAAACATAACATGATTCAGTAAATAGTTAAGCTCAGAAATCATACCTCATCAACCTTATCCCACCATCGAAACTCAGACTGAATCCTATTCCTGACAACATTGTAAAAAAGGGTTGGGTAGAATAGCATACGAGCACCTGCTCCAACCAACACCCTTTTCGCGTCATAACCCACAAACCTCAATCCTCCTTCCTCCTCACCTTCTCCTACCTCAACCCCATTCAATTCCTCTATACGCATAACTCACTTCCAAATCACGAAACAATTATAGGATATCCAGATATTTAAAAAACTAATTAACAAATACCTAGCATATGAACCGCATTTATAATTTCACAACCCCTTTGTATTCTATCCATGACTATATTACAACTTACAAACACCCAAACAATCACAAGAAACTACAGAATAAAACGAAAAATATATTTACTTGCCCCAAATTTCAATTAGTGGAGAAAACATAGGAAATCGGAATTCTGAAACAAATCAAATAAGAAATAATATGCAGAAAAAAAAGTTGTCCAAGCAAACCATGAGTGGGATTTTCTCAGGAAATAAAATCATGTTACGTTTCTTCGATAAAAGGTTGATTGTTCGGGACGAGAAAAATGGATGAGAGATTGGAATAATAGACAATAGAGAGGATAAATTTGTCGGAAGGAAAGACTATAAGGGAAGAGAATTTAAAAAAAAAAAAGAAAAAAAAGAAAAAGGAGAAAGTTGGGAAACGGATTCCCTAACCGAGGATTTGGGAGAATCGGAAACTGAATCTTTCTCTGAACAAACTCTATCGCAGCGAAAAGTAATTGATTCAGAAGATGGAAACGAATGAATGGAAAAAGGAGAACGAGGAGAGAAAGGGTTTGGATTACACGATTGTGATGCAAGGAAGGTGAAACTCTCGGAGAGAATGACACGTAAGTCACCGCTTTCAGGGACTTTCCTTTTAGGTGACCTTTGCTAACCAACGGCCAGACCTTTCCACGCCTTATACGTTTTCAATTATTTTTTTATTTACTTTAATTCTTATTTTCCATTTTTATTTCATTAATAAAATTATATTAATTTTCTTAAAAGATATTTCCCTATTCCTCAGACGAATTTAGTTGAAATTAGTTATATGAAATAAAAATAATAAAAAATACATTTTATTTATTTATTTTCCCATATATCAATTGCTTAGTTAAAATGGAATTTTGGTTTTTCAACGATTTTCGTTGTGTAGAAATGTGTTTCAAATATAGTTTTAAAAATGCTTTTATGTTGGTGGAAAAAATTAGGAGTATAAAAATGATAATTTTTAATCTAATTTTATCGATAAATTATAAAAAAATGAGTTTAATTTATTTTATATTTTAAAATAAATCATAATTTTACTTATATAAAGATAACGAATTATCAGGATAATTTTAGTTTGATAAAAAAATAATAAATAAAAATTATATTTTAAAATTTTAAATTATATTAATAAAATTAATTTTTATTTAATGATTTAATATATAAGATTTATTCAATTTTAAATTAAGAGTTAAAAAATTATTTTTTTATTATTATTATTATTTTTAATAATTTATTAATCTAAAGTAATAATTAATCTTAACTACTAAATCTTGAAATAAATGATTATTAAAAATTTATACTAATATTTTATAAGTGAATTTTTTAATAAATTAATTTATAATATATATATTTTTTAATAAAATATTATCACTTTTTTTATTTCTAAAAATAATTACTATTCTATAAATGACTTAGCTTATAAGTTAGTTTGATTTAAGACTACGACGACCGGTGGGGATCTTCTTGGGAGCGAGAGGGTCGTGGCCCCAAAGTTTTGTAACTCATATGTAATTTATGATTTTGGTCCCAAACATAATGAACATTTAATATATTTACTTGTATATTTACAATTTTATCCTCTCAGCCCCTCCTTAATTTTGTAACTCTCATATAATTTATGATTTTGTTCCCCTCAAACTTAATGATCAGTTAATATATTTAAGCATATATCTAGAATTTTATCTTTTTATCCTTTCATCTTCTTTCTTCTTTTTATATTTATTTATTATTTATTAATAATATATTATTTGTCCCCCAAGATCAATAGTCAAGATTCGCCACTCACGACGACAAGAAGTATGATTGAATTTTTGGCAGATTTCCAAATCATATTTTCTTATAAATAAACTATATGACTTAGAGTTTATGGGTGACATGAAAATTTGAGTTCTGGGTTTGGCCATTTGGATAGTTGAAGTAATCAACGAGTTTTTTAGTGTTTTTGCTTCTTCCATTTTTTTCAACGTTTATTTTTTTTAATATATAAAGAAAAAATAGAATATGAGCCAAACTAGTTTTATGTTGAAATTTAAATAAGTTAAAATTGATAATTTGATGAAAGAGTTTTGCATCTTGCATAAAAAGATTTTAAGAATCAAATTGGTACTTATGATGAATTGTATAAAATCATGGGGACAAACTTTTTTTTTTTTAACATTATTTTTACATTGTGTTATATATACGTAGGTTATATTGAAATTAACGTAACCAATAATATTTTTGTAATAATTAATAATTTATGTAAAAAGTATTTTTTTTATTATTGTATTTTTTTATTGTAACATGTGTCATAAAAAAATTTATTTCAATTGCATTGTTATCACGACACTTTCAAACTTCCTATTTTACGAATATTTTTCACTCTGAAACTTTCCTTTTCTTAAACTCTTTTCTAATATTCACTATTTTTGAAATTTCTTCTTTTCTTAAACTCTTCTTTAATATTCATTATCTTCAAAATTTCTTTTTTTTTCAAGTTTTTCCTCTTCAACTTTTTAACAATTATAATAGAACAAAGTTATTACATAATTATCCAATTGTGAATAACCACCTTATTAAAAGAAAATGAAAATTTTCTTTATAATTTAAGATATTGTTATTGTTTCTACTTGAAATATCTCTCTTTTTCTCATCATTCTAAATATATCGTTTATATATATTTTATTGATGATATGATATACGTTATTGAGAAAAGATAAAAAAAATGGTTGATATTATATATTGATATTTATATTATTTTATTAATTATGAATGAAAAGTAGGCATTCACAAATGTAATATATATTGGCATTGATATTCATATTATTTTATTATAATGTGTGGAAAAATATAAAAAATATATAACATTGCACATCAATGATTATATACGAAAATGTTAACATTTACAAGAATAATATATATTAGTTTTTTTTTTAAGTAGACCTAAAACATGGGTTGTAGAAAAAAACTAATGTAATACGTCATTCTTTACATCAATTTTAAAACTAATATTAAAAATGATATATTCCATTAGTTTTTTTTTTATAATCAATATTATATATCTATTTTTAGGTTAATAGTCAATCGATACAAAAATCTCATGTTTTTAACATATATTTAATAATTGATGTAAAAGGATTAAGATAATATAAGATGAAAATTTTATTTTCTAATAGGAAATTAGGGATGTTATGTTATTTAATAATGAAATATAATTAAATTGTAAAATCTTGAAAATTTTTTGTTGATATATTAAATAAATGTATCTATGTATGTGAATATTAAAATGTGTGAAGTGAATATTAAATTGTGACTTGAATCAAGTCCAACAAAATTACATATGAAATAAGTGGAGTGTGTTACTATTTTGAGTTTTTGGTTAACATACCTCGTTCAGTAGAATGTTTTTTGTTCAACAATATAAAATTGAAGAATAAGGACCTCGCTAAGATCTTAGTTCAACAAATATACATTTTGCTTAATGATATCATGGTAGAGAGTAAGAAACTCTAATGGGAATGTTCTTGTTCGATGATAATTATTTGGCTAAACTAAGTTTTCCTTATAGAGAAATAGGTTACAAAGTTCCAATTTAATATACAACATGATATATGATGATGATTGAAAATACCTTTTAGGTGGTTATTAGAGAAGTAATTTAAATTTGTGTGATTATGGTATAAATATTAAATGATGAGATAGATATTACCAATGATGGAATATTCAAATTTTACAGATAATCTAAACAATAAAATGAAGATATAAGGTGATAAAATTCATTCAACTATTTGAGAATATAGAGCCAATGAAACTCAATAGGTAAGTGAAGAACTATCTTGACATATATTAACTATTCATAAGAGTTGAATTGACCTGAGAAATATAATTAATTTGTTTTTATATTAACAATTTAATAGTTAAATATATATGATTGAGTGGTGATATTTTGACAACCAGAAATCATACAACCCTTCAAACAACTCACTTTTATTAATATAATAATTTATAGAATGATTTAATAAAAATAAAAATAAAGTAAAACTATTATTATAATATTAAAATAGAGTTGTTTATAGGAGTTGTATGGATTTGGGTTGTCAAAGTATCATTTTCCTATATCATTAGCACATACTTAAACACAATAAAGTCTTATAAAATTGTTGACTGTTAACATATATTTATGTTAATTTTCTTGTCTCAAAAACACCCAGTTTTTTTTTTTTCGTTTGTTTCTATCTTAAATTAATACTTATTCATTTTTTTAAAAATAAATTCGGCTTGTAAGCCCGTCTAAGAATTCAGAAATCATACACCAGCCCACATTTAGTCCATGGCCATAAAAGAGAAGACAAACAAAACGAAAATTAGCATCCAACTATTGGGCTTAATCAATAGTCTTGCCTTACGGATGGGCTAGGCCCATTTTAAGGTGGATCTGTTTAATTCTTCATCATTGTGACCTTCTATTAATTTCTTTATAACTTAAGTTGAAGAATATTTATAAAAAAATAAAATATTTTACAAAATTAATTTGAAGAAGTTCTCTCCCATGATTATTCTATATTTTTTATATAAATTAATTTTAATTTATAAAAATATTAAAATATATTTAAATATAGTTTGGTATATTCCTAAATTATATCATTTACTTGAAAAAGTCCCCACTCGCCTAAAGTATAAGTAGCAAAAGACTTTTTATAAAGTAATTAAAGAGAAGCGTGGACAAAGTAACATGGAGCAACGACTTTGACCCACCAGCTCAAACTTGTTATAATTTACTTGGGGTATGTCTTCTAGAAAGAGAATAAAACGTAGATAAGGATGTATTTTTTATATATAAAAGGAAAAATAGAAGAAAAAAAAACATCTCTAAAAGCAAATTTTTATCCTTTTTTCCAATTCAAATAAAAAACTTTTTTCTGCTTATTATTTCTTGGTTCCACTATGCAAGAATTTAGGTCTATTAAAGGTTTGAGAGACATGTAATGAGTTGGTATTTAAAACAATTTGGTATGGAGGGAAGTAATTAGGTATGTGGTTATTTTGTATTATCATGCGCACGTTCCTTTGACCATGTTTTGGTGACTGCGATTGGAAACGGATAATTGTGTGACCATCACTGATTGAAACAGAAAACAGCGACTTCGCTAGGTTGCAGTGAATTACGTCGATGTATGAAGGATGTTTCAAACCACGTGCTCCAAATTCAAAAAAAAAAGATAAAGAAAAACTGAATCCATTTACATCAAACTTAGAATTTCGATAAATACTCACATAGTGGTGGTGATTCAATTGACAAGAGCAAAGGTAAAATATTCATTGCCAAATTTAATACTTCTAATTGATACAATTTTAATATAATAAAAGTGATTAAAATTTATTTTAATATTATTAACAGTAATTTTTTACCTTCATATTTATTATTTATTATGATAATATTATTAAAAAAAATTATATATAAGATATTATCTGACTTTAAAACTTTCTTACATCATAACTTTAATTCATTACTTTGTTATTTAAAATTTGAGTTAAATATTGAAGGACTCTCTCTTTTTAAAGAAAGTTATTCAACTTCATAAGAGAAATCAAAACTCAGGATTTTAGATTTACGGACATTACCTGACAATAACAAATCCTATTAACATCAAAGCCAGAAATATAATTGATTGCACATCTTCCATTGGGAGGAGCAATAGTTGACATTATGCTTTGCCATTGTGTTTGCTGACTCTGGAAGAGTTGTTATTATCCCAAGCCAAACATAGCATTTAATTTTCCATGTTTAGTCCACTTGTATAAGAAACAAGAATACATGGTTGCCAGTTTCATCACGTGAATTTCAGAAAGGACAAGACCAATCTCCTCCACACACCAAATTAAATTGATCTTGTGTTTGAAAATTCAGTCAACCGTAAAATCTTTAGGATTTTTTATTTCTTCATGCTATACATAGTACATTCACAGAGGAGTGCTCCTTTACATTCTCCGTCACAAGATACATAAATCTATTAACTTCTAACAATGTTAAAAGTTTCTAAAGTAGTGAGCAGAGGATAGCTACAAAGAAAATTAACACTTTTAATTATTTACTAGATTTTACTCATTTTCCTTTTTTCTTCAGAAAAAAAAGTTAATCATTCCAGATAAATTACGTATCATTCAAATTATAGATAGTATCAATAACAAAACAATAAATATTTATAATTATACTTTTTTTAAATTTTCTGATTAAAAATATCCAATAATATATATATATATAAACTAAACAAAACATTTTTGTAAAGACTAAAAAACTTACCGAGGATAATAACCAAGTAAAATGTTAAATATTAATGAGATTCGATTAATTTATCATTTTAAATGAAGACACATCTTTTTTTACAGGCTATAGAAACTTTTATTAGTTTCAAGGTTTCTCTTAAGTTTGAGTTATCACTATGTTGGATATTATTTATTAACAATTTTTTTAATTTAAGTAACATAACAAGTATTAAAAATTATCAATAGAATTATCAATACCTCAATCGGACCAATTAATTAAAAATTATTATATTATAATTATTAAGAAAAAAATTAAATATTTATTTTAATATATTTTTATTAAATTTTAATATAGTAATTTAATTAGGAAAATAAATAAAAGAAGAGTGAGATCATAAGAAAGAAAATGAATAAAAAAAATTTTAAAAATGAGAGAAAAAACTATCTTTAAACAATAAATAATAATCAAAATAAACAAATCTATATTATTTTAAAATTTATTCCGATCTCACGTTTTAAATAATGCTACATAATTACCACGTGTTCAAGAAATTTACAATTAAAAATATTAATACTATAATTTTTTTAAAACTATTTTACAGTAAAAAAATGTAATATTTTATTTATTTAATAAATAAAATTTTATTCTTTTTGTAAGAAAAGATAATTTTTAGTTATTCTGAAACAATTGTAACTTAATAAATAAACTACCAGTAAAATGAATAAATAATATATTTTTTATGAAAAGAAAAATTAATTGATCAATGATTTACTATTATAATAACTATTTTGTCATTTTTCATTCCAAAGATAGGTTCACCCGTCATTATAATTTCATACACTATTTTTTTTTTCAAATATTAATTTTAGAAACCAAATTGTCGAGTTATTATATATTGAAGACTAAATCAATGATTGATTGAATTTAAAATAAAGATAAAATATGAAAAAACAGTAATGTAATTGGTAAATAAAGTGAATAAAGTGAAGATTGTTGAATTAACAAATTTGTCTAATTTACAATGTTGTCATCCCCAAACAGGACGCTGCAAAAAACCCAAAAGCACTCCTAAATTACTAAATTTCACACAACCATGAGTGGTGAAAATGCAAAAGCCGGAAGAGGAGATAACGGCGACAACGGCGGAACGTTGAAAATCTCCTTCACATCACTATCCCAGAACCCAGTCCACATAGACGGCGTTAACGGCGTCTCTCTAAAACAGTTCACCTCCTGTTCCGTTGTTTTCTCCTTCTTCACCACCGTCTTTACTTCCTCCACCTCCTCCTCGCGCCGCCGCTTCCTCTCGCCTTCGGCGTCGGTGTTCTCCGCCGCCGAGACTACTTCAAGTGGAAAGTTGAGGATGGCTTTGGAACCGCGGAGCCTGAAGGCGGCGCGGTCGTAGGCCTTGGCGGCATCGATGGCAGTGTCGAAGGTTCCAAGCCAAACTCTTGACCCGCGCTTGCTTGGGTCGCGGATCTCGGCGGCGAACTTCCCCCATGGCCGTTGCCGGACTCCTCTGTAGTGCTTCTTCTCCGGCTGGCTCTCCGGCCAGACCATCTTCGGGTTAGGATCCGGGTTCCCGAATTGGATCCACTCAGTCTTCTTCGGGAGAGAGATCTGCAGCGACGGTTTGCGATTCGTTTGAGGTTTCTTCTCAACCGATGTCAGGGGCCTCGGGGTCTCGAGGTCGATTATTTGAGGTTTGGAGTCGAACTCGAAGACGGGGACTTGAATCTCAGGTTCGAGGAGCTCAGTGAAGTAGTGATTCAACGACATGGAAGAGTCAGAGGTAGAAGATTGAGAAGGGCTAGGGTTTGTTTCGTCAAATTCGAAGCAAGGTTGTCTATTTTGGGGAGTGCCCAGTGGAGAGAGTTCACCTAAAAGATGCAGCTTGATGCGATTCAAAGCTGAAACTTCAGCTGGGTTCGCCATGGCCTAAGTTTAAGCGGTTTTTGGTCTTCGCAGGTAAATTGTTTGAATAATTGCGAGGGATGAGGTGAGGTATGGTTTGGTTTGGGTGTCTCAGTTGAGTGGAAAGGGGTATATATAGTTGGGAGAAAGTTGAATATTTTAACGTCTAGGCGCCTTTCAACTCTGGTGCTACGATGCAAGCACGAAGCATCCTATCAGTTGCCTCATCAATTATTCTTTATCATGAAAACATGGAGGCATTCAATTTTCTACGCTAGGGAACACCCTAGTAACCTTGTTCCATATCGTGTCCACATCAACTGCATCTCCTTTTATAATTACCTTTATTCACCATCCTCTTTGTCTTCTCTCCTTTTTCTTTACTTGAAAACGCAACGTTTCTTTTCATTTTTTAGCTCTGTTTTTATTATACAATAGGTAGGGAGATCATTTTTTCAAACTTGGAATAGACTGATATATTTTTTTATTTATTTTGTTGAAGGGTTACTTGATTTCATCTTGACCCGTACAATGAAACCAAATAATTTTTGAAAAGGTATATTTATTTTCTAATGAAATATAGTCGAGCGAAAAAATTTCTACCTTACCAATCTATGGATAGTTAAGTCTAGACACGACTTTGTTTCCAGACAGTTGAGGAGGTGAAGAAAATGAGAAAGTAAACCATGACATGAGGATTTGGTCACTTGGTTCAGCTTAAACTATGGCTGTAACGTGCAAGCAAAGTCTTAGTTTCAGTGACTTTGTTCATATATATATATATATATATATATATATATATATATATATATATATATATATATATATATGGCTTCTATGAGTTTACCCGTGTAAAAAGAAAATAGACAAAATCAATATCATTGACAGAAAAATTATTGGTTTAAATTGTATATTTACTTATAATAGATTGAAATTAAACCGTGAATATTTGTTGTGTAACCTTACAAAAAAAAAAGGTTAAAATTATTTTTTTTATTATGTTGCTTTAACTTTAGTGAGATGTTAGGATATTTCTTGTCGGCTAAGTAGTTTAGATGCAGATACCCACTGTAGATAAAGATAAAGGATTAAAATAAAATTCTAGAATTTCCATTTTTATATTATCTTCGCCCTCAAGACGGAGGATCAACACAATTAATATTCTTGAATCATTTATCTCATTGAATGGAAAAATGTTAAATTAGTATATCATTGTTTTTACGTATCATTATGAAATAAAATCAAGTTTATTAGTTTATTAGATGGAAAGTAAATAAAAAGTTTAAATAAAATGCAACCAAATAAAATTACTAAATAAACCTTTTTCTACTTTTATTTGAAATTAAATAATAACAATAAATATATAATTATCTCATCTCTGAAACATAGCCTTATTAGACCCAGGCAACTAGGCGTAGACTTCAAGAATCTTAAATGAAGGATTCTAGAAAAGAAGAAATTTCTAGTTTGGCTTGACAATCAATGAGTTCAGAATAAAACCGATCATGGTGGTGATAACGTGTTCTAGAACAAAGTTAATATCTTTTTGATGAGTAAGAATAGTTATTTCGAATCTGTCAATCACTCAAACAGTAACACAACATCACCCGTGAATTTTTTGGCGTTGACTTGGTCTTCAATTTCATTCAATTATCTGCTCAGGTACATCATTCAATATATAATTGAAGTTTTCTTTTCCTAGCTACTTTCACAGAAGCTTATAGTGTTGTATTTCACAATTTAGTCATAATGTCAAGTTGATTGATTCTCGCATGGCAAATAATGATAGAGGCTTCCTAGAAGACTTTAGGAATTAGCATATTCCACGATTCTCTTTGCATCTGGCAGACCTTTCATAAAATGAATACTTGTGAATGTTAAAATATAAAGGGATCTTGGTAATATATAAACACTCGCAAACAATAACATCTTAATATGTTGGTTGAGACAGGTAATATATGATACAAAAAATAGGCTAAAAACACCAAAAAAAGACTTAAAAATAAGAGGTTAGTTATATACACATGGTCCTCCAGGTAGATGATGCATGGACCACAGTAGTTATGCTTGAATATTTATTTTATAAGGAGAGAAGATTTTTGTTTTGGCTTTGTTGAATTGAGGTCCTATGTATATGTCCAGAATAGTGTCGAACTTGTTCATGAAACACATAATTGAGCTTTACTAACTAAGTTATTTAAATTATAAAAGAAGGAAAGATGAAGAAGGGGTCAATGTTTATAGGTTTATAAGTCATCCTAATTTGTTTGTGTGTTGAGGCCTGTTTCAACCACTCCATTTTTAATTGTTTGTTAGTGAGGTAGAATGAGAGGATGAGAGCATGTTGGCGTGGCTCATTCGTTTGGGAAATTCCATTCCTAACAGAAAGTGAAAAGCTGAGTCTAAGTTCTTGCCAAGTCATAGACACGATAAAAGAGCAGTTACAATCACAAACTTAGCTTCATTCATAACATAATCAATATCGTTTATAGAAGTTCATGCATGGTTGACCCCACGCGTCACGTAGAATGTTTGGGAATGGTAATTGTTTTGCAATGGTGGTTGACAATTTCAACTGCTCAAGTGTGAATTTGTCCCATCGGTTGTATCAACGGTTACTAGCTGCTGTTACAACATTTCAACTCTTCTTACCTTCCACCATATATCCTGCAAGTGTCAACTTTCAATAACTTATTTCTATACATCATTTACTGCAAAATATACATTAACTACAATTATATAAAGCTTAATTCATTAAAAACATAATTCTTGCAAAATAATAATAATAATAATAATAATAATAATAATAATAATAATAATAATAATAATAATAATAATGGTGGTGGTGGTGGTTTTATAAGAGACATTTATAATTAGATTGTAATTTGTTGTTTTCTAAATTTTTCAAATACATACTTCATTCTCATATTTTCTAAAATGAAAAAAAAAAACTAAACCGTCAAAATAAAATAACACCAAAATCTCTTTAGTGAAAAAAAAAGATGAAATATGGTGAAAATATTCTTATTCATTAAAAAAATAATATAAAAATAATAAAATGTTCATTTTAAAAATAATAAATAATTAAATTGAAACTAAATATTTATTTAATTAGAAAATTATTCATATAATTTTTAATTATTTTTTATCAATAAAATAATTTTTAAAATTAATATCTATTTTTTTAATAATATATTTTTATATATAATTATAAAATATTTATGATTATAAAATTATATCTTTTTTATATTTGAATTTAAATTAATAAAATAATATCATATTAAAAAAATAAAAATATATTAAATTATTTATTTGAATTTTAGAATAACTTATGATATTTTATTAAAATAATGATTAAATATATACATATATGTATATATTAAAATTATAAACATAAAAATAATTATTTATTTGAGTGAAGATAATTTTGTAAATAATATTTTTTATTTTTTTTACTCGTATATAAGTAAAAAGTAAATATGTATATATAGTAAAAAAATTATTTTTTTATATTTTTCCTTATTATTAAAAGAACAATATTTTCTTTTCGTTAAATTTTTTACACTAAAATAGAGCCTAAAATAACATTTAAAAGAGAAAAAAAAACTTTTATAAGTTTTATAGACGATAAATGATAGGTATTATATATTGAGAGTCATTCATTAAAAAATGGGATTTAAAAAAATATTTTTCATTTTTATAATTTATTTTTTAATGATCTAATAGTTTAGAAATAATAATTTATCTTTTTTATTATATTGTAAAAATATAAACGAGGAAAAAAAATTAAATATATGATTCATATTCTTAAAATAAGTAAATAATATATATATATATATATATATATATATATATATATATATATATATATATATATATATATATATATATATATATATATATACTAATCTCGTTGGTTTGGTTGGTTGGAAGATGTAGATTTAAGGTTTGTACATACTTCCTCTCTTCAAGGCAAATCTTACCTAACAATTGTCATTTTACGAAACGCACTTCCTGTAGCCAATTGTAATTCTAAATACGCTCAAAATAATGAATTGGGTATTTTTTTTTTATCATAATTGATACGTTAAAGACAGTTTCATTAATCTATTTATGTTTCATTTGAACAGGAAAGTCTAAATAAACTTGCAAATTGAGACTTTAAGAAACGGTTCGGTTTTGTGGTTGAAAAGCAACTCTAGGGTGAATTTGAATTTGAATTTGTAATTTGTGTAATTTTTTGTCTTTAGTGACACTGGGAATGTATTTTTTTTTGGTGTTGGTGGTTTCTTAAAGGATATATAGTATTTTTGTTTTCTATACATAATCATAATATAACATTTTTTGTATGTTTGTTTTCAGATTTAGATGTTCTCTTTATATGGTATTTCCTTGTACCAAATATCTGGTATTTCCTCAAATATTGTTTACTTTTCTTTAAGATACGAGTTCATTCGAAGAAGATTAGGGTAAATGATAACTTGAGATTTAGGGTTTGATTTTAGATGATTTGGGGAATCTAATAAGGTGGGGATGAGTTAACAGAAATATGTTTAAACTTTTTAATAAATTGAAGAAAATAGCTATGAAAATATATATGTTGATCAAATTTTGATTCATGTATAAAGTGTTAATTCGATAACATTTATTTATAAAAATTATTTAATCCAGTCCAATTATTCTATATTATCAAACTAAATGGATTGGGTTGAATTTTCATAAATGGTTTATTTTGTTAAATTTAATTCTAAGCTTATGATCAGCTATAAAGAAAGAAAAAAAGGACAAAGAAAGAGAACAAAAAATACAATATAAAATATATTTATTCATTGAAAGAAGGAGTGATTTAAAAAGGAAACAAAGTTCTCATTTTTAAAAATAATAAATAAGTTAATACAATTAAATAATTGTGTAATTACAAAGTTGGCTGTATATTTATTTTGGAGTGATGAAAGATTAGTGATTATGGAAAATACGCACTTACTTTCATACATTTTTATAGTATTCTCAGAAATAAGTGA